ATCTGAATTGCCTCTTCTCTCACGAACTCTTTTAGTTCATGTATAATCCAACAGTAGACTATTGGATGGTTGTGAAAAAAATGTCTTTGCTATATCAAGCAAACAATATGCTATGGGCTTCAGTTTGTTCTGTCATTATTATCTTTGCTGCTTCTCAAATATGGATCTATTGGGGTGGTTGTCCTGATGATTGTTGGTTAATATATGTGATGCGGGAGGATATGAGAATGATCGTTTTAACTCCTGGAACTTCAACTCAATCGCATGCAATATCAAAATTCAAATCACCTAATTAAAACTCCTCCTAATTGAAATTACAATCCTAAAATTAAGAATGTAATAACAAAAACTAGGGAAACAAAAGTAAAGAAAGGAAGGATGTTACGGTTTATCCGATAAGTAATCCTAACTCCTTAGCTCAATCAAAACTTCGACAAACTCATCTACCTTCAAGAGAAAGAAAGCTAATTTAGACAGAAGCTCAAATAATTAAAGTAATTGGAAAGGTAGACTCCCATGCTTGGCCGATTTTTGCACTCCTTTTTTGGGGTGGTCTTTTAGCTTCAATCGATCTCTTATTCTTCACTCTTGATTGACTTCTTAAGTTACAACTGAGTGGTATTCTTACTAGAACTCTCAAGGCTAGAGATTGAATTATCCAAGAAGTCTTCATCATACAAAAATCCTCCTTGCCGGTCTTATAATTCCATTGGGTTTCTTGGCCAATTTGAATTTCCATGCTATCTCCTTCGGTGTTTGTGTGGAACTTGAAGTCCTCTTTTTCCAGCTTGCTTGCTGCTATGGGAATGTAGAATCCTTCATGTTTTTGAGTTCCTAAAGGAGGCAGGATAGGTGATTCGTCTTTGACACTCAAGTCTCCTTAGGATTCCCGAATTCGGATTGTTTTAGGATTCCATTGGTTGTTGTTTTTAAGGGGTCTTCTTCTTGATTTTCCTCCTCAAAATCAGATTGCTCATCTTCCTCATCCTCTTTGGAGTCCAATACTACAAATTTTCTTCTTCTCTTATGGCTAGGCTGTTCCCGGCATGATGGCGTGCAACTTTGGCCTCAGGGTTGAAAAGCCACACTTGGCCAGCCCTCTTTGGCTTCCTTGAGTTGTGGCCAAGTTGTATTTGGGCCTTCCTAGGATGGACTTTGGGCTCAAGGCCCTCTTCCCTTCTCGGCTTGGGCTGTTCAAACCCTCTTTGGGCTGTTCTGGGGTCATTCGGCCTGTGGGTTGCCTTCTCGGGCTTCTTGGGTTGGCCCGTTGGGCCCTCATGGGGTTCTCCTTGGTGTTGAATATGATGTGATAATATTGGCATTGTATATCTCATACTAATATAGTTTTTCATGCAAGAATGGAACATATTAAGATTAATCATCATTTTCTTCGCAACAAGTTGCATGAAAACAATTGCATGTTGTTATAATCTACTCTAAAGATCATTTTTACCCAATCTCTTCCAAAATCTATGTTGTCCAATTTGAGAACAAGCTGCAGTTTTGTTCCATTTCACGATCAGCTCATGTGCGAGTCTGCGCTGGGGTTATCAAGAATATTGTGCAGTATAAAATTGATTATGTAATTATGGCCACATTCTGATAATTCATTGTAAATTTTCTTGTATTTAGTGCTTAATAAATAGTTACATCACAAAATATGATTATTGAAGAATGTTTATGTATCGTTTTTTTTATTTGATGCATCATGTCTTTATGTTTGTAAAACAGTGCGTTTTTTAGCTTGTTTTGTTATAGCTGTTATAGGTTGTTATTTTGTTATTTTATTTTTCTGTTACAACCTTTTTGGCTCATGGTGCATGACTACAGCAGCAGCTTCTCTCTATATAAGAAGCATGCTGCAGCTGTATTTAGAGTGAGAAGATATTATGAAATCATCTTTCTCTCCATTTTTCTGGTTTTAATTTAGCTCATGGTATCAGAGATACACGATCCATAGAGGACTTGAATTGAGAGTTACATTGAGAGATAATGGATACTGGAGGTTCAAGATCAATATCCGAAGGAAACAGCAGAGATGCAGTTATGCAACTTGGGAATTTTGGGCAAGGAACCAGATTTGCAGAAATAGCAAATTATTTACAACTACAATGATCAGATAACCCAGGTATGATTCTGGTCACCACACCTCTTAATGGAGAAAACTACTTGACGTGGAGCAGAGCTATGAAAATAGCTTGAGGAGCTAAGCAGAAACTGGGTTTTTTGAATGGAAAATACAAGAAACCAAATGAAGAAGATACAGATGAGTTTGAACGATGGATTAAGATTGATTGCATGGTACAGTCATGGATTTTGAATTCTATTTCAAGAGAAATCATTGATGCATTTTTATACATTACATCAGCACAAGAACTCTGGGAACGGCTAGAGGAACGATTTGAAGTTTGTAATGGTCCATTATTATATCAATTACAAAGAGAGTTTAACTCACTGATGCAGGGAAATCAATCTGTTTCCCAATATTTCACTAAGTGAAGAGGCTCTAGTATGAGCTTCTATGTTTGAGGCCCTTGCCATAATGCACTTGTGGAGCAGCAAAAGAAATGTCAGATCAGTACTCATCTGACAATTTAACACAGTTTTTTTGGTAGGTCTGAATGATAGTTATGATGGGGTCAGGAGTCAAATTTTGATGATGGATCCATTACCAAATTTAAACCAGGCATATTTGATAGTGTTGAGAGTAGAAAAACATAGGGAAGTTCAAGTGAATTTTGCTGATATTACTGATAATGCAGCCTTGTTAGTGTATGGACGTAGATCTAAGAATGGGAACAAATCTGGAAGCGATGTGCAAAATCTCAAGAAGCAAAGAGCAAAACCAGATATGAGAAGGCAGGACAAATATTATATTGCTCTTTCTGCAATTTTACAGGCCACACAAGAGAAACTTGTTTCAAGCTGAATGGTGTGCCAAATTGGTACAAGGAACTACAAGAAACAAAAAAGAGGACAGGAGGAAGAAATGTGGCTTGTATGGCAGAAACAGCGGCTGAGGCAAATGAAAATAAGGATTCATTCATGAACACCGAATTGGGTGGAAAGGTACAAAGCACGATTCAAACAGAGATGATAAAGTTCATGAAAGGGAAAAGTTCTACAGAAGGTACTGTGCTGAACATGGCTCATTTCACTGATTTTGCAGGTATAATTTTATCTCAATTTGTGTTTGGTGCATTAAGTTTGTTGGAGGAAGGTAGTTGGGTTGTTGATACAGGTGCTTCCAATCACATGTTCTGTGATTCAAAACACCTAAGAATCATAAAACTAATAAAAGAAATTACACCTGTATATCTACCTGGCGGAACAATTAAATTGGTCCATCATGTAGGAGATGTTCACTTGAATTCAACCCTGAAACTAACAGATACACTTCACATACCAACCTTTAAATACAATCTGATTTCAGTAAATAAGCTTTCAGAAACTGCACTAATTAGATTTCTGTTCTACCCTTCCTTTTGCCTCTTGCAGGACCTTCAGACTAATGAACTGATGGCAGTGGGAAAGGTGGTCAGCGGATTATACATCTTGGATTCAACTTCATTCAAACCAGGCCTCTTGTCTCATTACACAAACTTTCTCAGACACCAACACACACCAACAAAGTCTTTGCCTCACATTGTAATAACTTCATTGCTGTTTGTTCCAGTGATGAAATTTCTACTCAGAATCTTGTTCTTTGGCATCAACCACTTGGACATATATCTCCTGCTGTTATGACTCATTTACCTTTCTTGTCTCACAAAAATGATTTGCATTTACCTGTTTGTGATGTGTGTCCGTTAGCCAAACAGCAACGTATAAGTTTTCATAAAAGTGTTTCACATGCTTTCAAGATATTTGAATTATTGCACATTGATGTTTGGGGACCATATGTTCAGTCATCTATGTCAAATGCTCATTATTTTCTGACCTTTGTTGACAATTTTAGCAGAGCTACTTGGACCTTCTTGTTTACCTATAAAACACAGGTTGCTTCCATTCTTTCACATTTCTTTAAAATGGTAAGTAACCAATTCAATGCTACCATTAAAATTGTGCGTTCAGATAATGGAACTGAGTTTGCTAATCAAACTTGTAAAGATTTATTTTCGTCTCTTGGTATTGTTCACCAACGTAACATTCCTTACATCAACATAATGGTAGAGTTGAAAGAAAGCACAAACAGATTTTACAAATTGCCAGAGCTTTGCTTTTTCAATCAGGCCTTACCACTATCTTTTGGGGTGAGGCCAATCTCATGGCCACCCATATCTTTAATGGATTGCCCACTTCTGTTCTCAGTTGGAGAACACCTTTTGAAGCCCTTTATAATAAACCACCAGACTACAGTTCACTTAAAATCTTTGGATGCCTTTGTTACATTTCAAACACCTCACCTCAAAAATCCAAATTTGATCCTAGAGCCCACGAATGTATATTCTTAGGTTATAATGAAGGTCAGAAAGGGTATAAGGTTTATGACCTTAGTTCACATAAAGTTTTGATGTCCAGAGACATTATTTTTTATGAGCATATTTTTCCTTTTAAACATCAATTTCAAGATTCTACGCCCATCTCTCTTCCAATACCTGATGATTTTCTCATTAATGAATCTGATACAAACCATTTGATTGATACTCCGTTTCTGCTTCGCCTCCTTTGTCTCCTAATACTCTTGATATTTCATTTCCTACATCACCTACTACAGTTGATTCCTCACCAGTTCCAGCACTTGATTTACAGTCTTCTGAGTTTTTTCCACCATTAAGACGTAGCACCAGAGTTATTAAGCCTCCTGCCTAGTTAAATGATTTTGCATTGCCAACACTCATCAGTCACCAAGGTAAATGAAAGAGCCCCATATCGTTTATTTACATTTCCATGCCTACACTTCACTTGTTTTTTCATCATAGTACGGGGAATTTCTAGCTAATGCATCAACTGATTCTGCTCTTACCACTTACAAAGAAGCATGTACTGACATGAATTGGATTAATGCTATGGAATCTGAGCTTGCTGCATTGGAAAATAAGAAACATGGGAGTTGACTTCCTTACCAGAATATAAGAAACCTATTAGCTTGAAGTGAGTTTTCAAAATCAAATACTTACCTGATGGCTCCATAGACAGGTACAAAGTGAGGCTGGTAGCAAAAGGTTATAATCAGATCGAAGGAATTGATTATACAGATTTTTTTTCACATGTTGCGAAGCTAGTGACTGTAAGAATTTTCTTGGCAATGGCTTCTGCTAAGAGCTGGGTTGTTCATCAAATTGATATCAACAATGCCTTTTTACAGACACGTTGAATGAGGAGTATATGATACCACCAGAAGGGTATAAGAAAGCAGCAGCTGGTGAGATTTGCAAGCTTAGAAAGTTACTTTATGGGCTCAAACAAGCCTCACGTGAATGGAACAAAGTTTTTACAATGCATTTGCATGCTTTTGGGTTCAAACAGTCCATGCATGATCACTGTTTATTTATTAAAGCATCACCTACTAGTTTCTAGGCTCTTAATTGTCTATGTAGACGATATCTTGATCACAAGCTCCCATGAATATGATATTAATGCAGTTAAACATTTCCTACACCAACAATTCAGTATTAAAGATTTAGGTTATGCTAAATTCTTCCTTGGAGTTGAGATGGCAAGATCTTCTAATGGAATGTATCTTTCCCAACATAAATATGTTTTAGATATCCTGTCAGATGTTGGATTACTTGGTGCAAAGCCTGCCTCTACTCCAGTCCCAAAAAGGTTGAAATTGACTGCTGATGATGGTAATCTATTTCCTGAACCAAAGAAGTATAGACGGTTGGTTGGCATAATGCTCTATCTCAACATGACCAGGCCTGATATTACTTTTGCTGTTCAACAGCATAGTCAATTCATGAGTAAGCCTACGCAATCACATTGGGATGCATCAATTCATGTGCTGCGTTATTTGAAGCATGCTCCTTCAACTGGACTTTTCTTCTCTTCATCTAACGATTTCAAGCTCACTGCATATTGTGATTCAGATTGGCAGCATGCACAGATTCCAGGCGTTCCATCACAGGACACTGTATGTTCCTCGGTTCCTCGTTAGTGTCCTGAAAATTGAAGAAGCAAACCACCATCTCTCGCTCCAGTGCTGAAGCTGAGTACAGGAGCATGGTTGCTACTGTTTGTGAGCTCCAATGGCTTTCATACTTGTTACGTGATTTTAGTTTGTCTCCTAATCATTTCTTTATGTTTGTAAAACGGTGCGTTTTTTAACTTGTTTTGTTATAGCTATTATAGGTTGTTATTTTGTTATTATTATTATTATTTTTTTCTGTTACAGCCTTTTTGGCTCTTCAAAGTGAGAAGATATTATGAAATCATCTTTCTCTCCATTTTTCTGGTTTTAATTTAGCTCAATTATCTTTCAGAAAATAACACTCGATATTTATTTTTAATCAATATTTTTATAGGTAGATTTGGTATTTTTCTTGTTTTTGATTACTTGGGTGTTTATGGTCCAAATCATAAAACTGAAGTTTAGAGGGTTAATATTGAAGGATGAATAAAAATTAGACTAAAATTTGGATATTTTAATTTTATCCACACTACATTAAAATTTTATAATGATAAAATAGAAATTAAAAAAAAAAAAAACCGATAGTAGAAATATGTAATGATAATATCTTTAGTTTTGTTCTAGTAAGTTTGTGTGGGGAAAGGAAGTTTTAAGCGTATAAACTCCCATTAATTGTATTATTTTTATCTTCTAATTCAAGATGTATACATACATACCCCTAAACAGAAGCATTACAATGAATAAAATATTGTTTCTTCTTCCTCCCAAAACAATCTGGTTATTGTGGTTTGTCATGGACTTTGAGTTGCTTTTAACCTTTGGTCGGGTGTTGCAAAGAACATTGAGATACAGACATATGTGTCCTAGAAATACATATGCCTTTTAAAAAATCTATAATAAAGTTTGGTCCAAATAAATTTGAATTTTTATTAATCTTTATGATTAATAGTATATTTAATATTTTTTAATAAATATTTATGTATCGAATAAAGTGATCAGTGTATATTATATTTTTGAAAATAATTATATAAAAGAAAAAAAATGTTATTCGTAAAAGGTAAACAACAAAAAAAAAAAAGATTAAAAAAAAAAAATAATAAATGGTAATAATGTTACCAACGTATTAGTTACAGAACAATCAATTATATTAATAATGTTTTTGAAAGTAGTCAGTATATTAGTCACGTAGTAAATATAGTTGTTTTAAAAATATGTTGTTTATGCACCTATATCACCTATTTTATAAATATTTATTGAATAATGTAATAATGTAGTAAATAGTTAAGACTTAATTTTGAGAAAATTTGAAACTACAGGTTTGAACTGAAAATCATACGATAAGTGAATATGATTTTTTTTAAATACAGATGTTTTTGGGTTATGTATCCCCAAAGAACATTATATAGGTGAGCTGTGATGATAAAAGCTGCCCTTGTATGTATAGGTTATCCTGAGTGTGTATATATATATATATTCCCTTGCGATCAACAGAGATACTTCACCTATCACAAAGTTTTTTTCATTTTCTTTTAAAACTTGTTAAACATCAGCAAATTCCTTAGAAAAAAATTCATAATATACATATACATATATATATATATATAAACTCCCAGATTAATAGTATTTCTTTGCAAAAAAATTACCAGCCAACATCAGATCCAGTACGCAGGTAATTCTTGAACAACTTACTATTTAAAAATGATATAGCTAAACTAGCTAGGCAGGTAGGTTATATACATATACGTGTAGGGTTTTATATATGAGAGTATCTGGGACAAGATGTACTCTCTTCTATGTGATTCTCTGACAACTTCTACCCTCTGAATCATCGCCATCATGATTGATCATATATATATATATATGCTTATAAATTAGCTACTTAGGTCAACTGAAAAAGAAAAATGTAAATAAGTTGTGTTATTTTCTTTTGCCAACCCCAAGATCTAAGGTAGCCCTATAATACTTTACAAACATTATCTACGAAATCTAAATGGTCCACATATTTTACATCAAATTTTGTTCACAATCTAACATATATAATTTAGTTTACACGTATATATATATATATATATATACACTGATCAAATGATTTTTATATATAATTTGTAAGATTTCCGTACTATAAATATAATTTAGTTTGCATTAATCTTTTTAGGGTTCCCTAATCCTTGATCTAGATGTCTCATGAACACTGAAAGGATAAGACACAAACCAAAAGCTGCCAACTGATCATTTAAAAGGGATATATAGAACAAGAGAATGAGACAAAAAGCAACTTGGACAGGTTATTATAAGGTCCATAACATAACAAGATCATCCCAAGAGACCCAACAATTTGGTTTTCATCTCGTTGATCACAAATACAAAGTTATAATTAATAAAGCTCTCTAAATTAACCATCTAAATCTAGTCTCACTGATTATTCTTCTTCTTTCTTTTCTTTTTTTTATTGATCTTAGTTGCTTCCCTCTCGCACTCATTTCCTCATCTCACTGATCTCACACATAGTTATAATATGAAGTTGTAGCAAACAATCTAGTGAATGGAAGACAATATATATATATAGCTAGCTGCTAGCTACTAGTTGATTAATTATGAGGAAGAAGTGATGATTAACCACGAACCAGGCCGTATGATAGAGCCATTAGTAAGATGGCAGCTTCTTTCTCATCTTGAGGGAAGACCCGTTGAAAAGCTGAACTCTTGCTCAAGATTATTGTTAGATCCTCAAAACAAAGCTTCTTTCTGCCATGGGATGGGGATGCCAGCTTGCACTTCTTCTTTAGTTTTGGCATGGAGTTATCATGGCCTGATCTTTTTTCCTTGTGTTGAACTTTAGGACTTTTCATAGCTGGTGGATCAGCTGCAACAACTGAGCTATCTGCAGCTGCAGCTGCAGCCATGGCCCTCCTTGCCTTTCTTTGCCTGATTCCACAAGCGTTGCAAAGAGACTGCAAAAGACCGTCCAAATTGGTTTCAAAACATGGGTAAGATTTTATCTTGTTTTTTTTTTATGGGTTAAGATTAAAATATGTTGAAGAAGAGAAAAAAGTTAAAAATAAATAGTACCTTAGGACCTCTGGGTCCACTTCTCCATAGAGGAGTTTTGGTTGTGTTACAATCAGAACAAACCCTAATTGTGTTGTTGTAGCTGCTGTGATGATCAGTGGTTTGAAGAGGTGATGATTCTTGCTTCTGATCTTCAAACTTTTGATTATCAGAGTTTTTTGGGTTCATCATCTTCCTCATAAACCTCATCTTTGAAGACATCCACTTCACTGAACTGCTCTCACTTTGATTTTCATTTCTCTGATCTTCATTCTTCCAGATAGAAAATTTCAGGCCACTGTACTCGCTACTCTCATTCCCTACTTGTGTTGTATGATCACATGATGATCCAACATGAGACATAAATATCTTCGCCTGAAATATTTATCCAAAAGACAAAATTGATTAACGATCACAAACATCAAATTAAAAAGTAAAATGATATTTTCTAATTAAACCCCACACAAACAAAAGAAAAGATTTTACAAGTCCTGATGTATATATATAATTACCTGATCTTGTTGATATTGAGATTGATGATCATGGTAATTGTAAGCAGATGGTTGAATATCTTGGGATGGATTGAAGAAAGAAGGAGAAGAAAGAGAAGAAGAAGATGATGAATAAGCAGTAATATTGAATGGTACTTGATCATGGTTTTCATTAAGGTCTAGCGCGAATTGATAATTTGGAGTCATGAGAAGATAGAATATGAAATAAAAGAGAAAGAGATGAAGTGAAGAAGAGCAAAAATAGGGGGGGGGAGGTATTGTATTGAAATGGTTTAAAATAGGTATATGTAGAGGTTCACGTGACTTGATGATACCCAAAAAAAACCAAGTTAGAAAGAAGACAAAGAGTGTATAGGTGGAGTGATACGACACAGACATAAAACCCTATCTGCAACCAAAACTACTTGTGCATGTCAGCCCCTTTTAATTCATTTAAATTGAAAAGAAATTACAGCTAGCGCACAGAGATTTGGAATATTGTAGCCACACAAATTATGGTGTTGATAATATCATTATAACTACATCATATCTTAATCACTATATTTAACTTAAATCATCCTGTTTTATACACACACGCACATCTATATATTATTGATTTGGAATTCAAGCCACTTGAAAGCTGAATTATCTACAGTAAATAAATTTAACCTTAATAATGACTGCATGTCCAAGAGTGAAAAAAGGATTTACT